GGAATATACCCAAACTTTTATTTCTTTTTATTTTGTAATGGATATCAATGAAGCTAAGCAAAGAATATACTTACAGACTTGTAGAACAGAATGTCTAACCTTTTTTTCTGAAGGACCATTAAAAAGTCTGCATGCAACTTGCAGACCAGAGGTTGCCAGAAAAAAGTTACAAAAAATGTTCCTCTAGATATTTGATACGATGAACTTATATTTATGTCCTTCAATACAAAATCTTTCGACTGAAAAGACAAATTCCTAATGATAATATGAAGTACATAATTTGGACAGAATTAATAGGCAATCTTTGCCAGACCGATGGAAAAAAATAAAAGTATTACAATTTTAAGATGCTTAAGCACCTTCCTTTTCTACAGGCTTTACTAAATTTTAAGTATGAATTAAAACTTTCAAAAAATTTTATACGATTAAAAGCCTTTGATTTCTCTATTTAAGGGCATTTTCCTAATTCAGAAATAAATAAATATATGGAAAGATTCATCTGGCTTTTTGATGAAATTTTCATTCTTTTGGTTGGTAACACTACCTTTAATGGGAAAAGAATTGTTCAAACATTTCTTGCAAGGTTTATTTATATTTTCAACCTTAACAATTTTTTAAGTACTGAATACTTAATTTTTTAAGTAACTTTTAGATTGAACCAAGAGGTTCAAACAAAAAGTTAATGGGCCAGAATGTTGCCTGCTGGCCAGATGTTTGGTAACCCTAGGCTGAATCTATTTTTAGACATCTGTTAACTGTAACTGCAAAGAAAGACAAAACAATACAGTATTAATAATACATTGTTAATGCAAAGTCCACCAATGTGTACATATATGTGTGTATATGTATGAGTATGTATATGTTTATATTATTTCATAGGCTTACCACAGATTTTAACACTCGTGCAAAACCTGTGTGTGTATGTTTATATTTTATTTTACAGACTTAAAATTTTCAATCCATTATATATACAGTAAAAAGTCTGAATGATCCAAAATCTGGAGCTTAAAGTAACCAACAACCTTTTTTTTTTCTTGTATGCTTTATGCATGTGCACTTGGTTTTTTCTGCCATAATAAAACATGTGGAGAGTTCCGATTCTTAATTTCCCGTCGGCACTAAATAAAATACCTCGTTATTGAAGAAACAATCATTTTAGCATAAATTTGTGTGATTAGTAATTTGGCTCCATAGCCAGTATCTGCTTGGCATGTATCTGAATTGAAACATTCTACATGGAAGCATCGTTGATTTTACAGCTACTAATATTTTATATACCTTATGCCAACATGTTGAATCATTATTTATTATATTTTGCTTTCATCACAGCATGTACACATGACAACTTGAGTAATGACTGGAACAGTAATGCCTAAACACTTTTTTAAAAATATTAGTACAGTACAAAGCAATGCCTAAACATTTTTAAAAAAAAATATTAGTACAGTACAAAGTCCATAATCCAGACTCGTCGGGACTTAGGCGATTCCGGATTAGGAGTTTTTTTGTGGATTATAGATCATCAATTTAAATCTGGTAAGATGGCATGCAGAAATTATACAATTAAAAATATGAAACTGTAATTTATGAAATAAAGAGCAATTATGATCTAAAGGGTATCAAAATTTACAAAAAAATCTTAATATTTATTTGTTTACTTTATTAAATACTTCTTTCAATGTAAGTTGTTTAAGATGCTTCCACAAAAAATTCAAAAATTTTCTTTTTTCTTGTATCACATACAGTTGACTTTCCAATGTCGTACTCCTCGCATAGTTTTGAGACTTGGTATGCCTTTATCCATTTCTTGCAGCAATTCCACTTTTTGTTTGATGGACATCAAAACATGCTTTCACGTTGTAGATCCTTTGACAGCTATAGAATTGGAAACTCTTTTTGACATAACTGAAAGTTCAAGCTTAATTTTTTAAAAGATTGCTCTAACAGTCTGCAAAAATTAATAAGCCAGATACAATTAGAAGATTAAAGAACAGCGCAATCTGCAACATTAACTGAAACTGAAATGCCTTACAATCAGTAAAGATAATTTTAGCCTAGCTTATACTGTCCGTTATACATTAAATGCGTAATGCGTAAACACATTACATGCCTGCGTACAGCAGACCAAAAAAAAAAGTTTGTGGCTTTGAGGTCGGGATTACGGACTTTGTACTGTAATTAAATAACAAAGAGTACCGTAACATTTTTATGTTGACATTCTGCTTGGAGATGAGCCAAGATGCGATAAGAAATGTTGATGAGAAAAAATTTTAAAAAAATTTCCGTCCATACGCTAAAAATAGATTTTGTTAATGATACACATAGGCCAAAAGATTACATTTAATACTATTTGATTTAAGAGTTACTGATAAACCCAGAACCGGCACCAGAGTTGATATGGCTGCACCATGCGGCAGAATTTACACAAGACAAAATTTTTGGAATTCTACAGAAGCACTGAAGAACAAAATTAAGAGCTGACAAAATTTTAGAACTTAGGCAGGAGCTTGGTAGCAGAATTTAGGACCCGCATCAGGTGGTAAGATATCTAGCCCCAGCAGCCTTAATGTGGGAAATTATTTATTCAGGACTCAGATAATCCTCAAGCATGTACAAGAAATGGATGTAAATAATAATAAATAACTAAATAACAATTCAGGCTTATTTGTCTCAGTGCCCGATAGAAAGAAGAAAAAATTTAGCAGAGCAACTTGTCTTCTGTTGCCAGTCTCACAATAAATAGCCAATAATATATAGTGAATTCTATTAAGGAAGGCTAAAATTATACTTTACTGATTCCAAGGAATTTCCGTTAATATAGCAGATTGTGCTGTTAAACTTTCTAATTTGATCCAGCTTATGGTTTCTTGCAAGCTGTTATTATTACAGCAATTTTATGAAAATTAAAGTTTGAACTTTCGATTATGTCGAAAATAGTTTCTAATTCTGAAGGTGCAACAGGATATACAAAGAGAAAACATGTTTCAATGTCCATTAAACAAAAAGTGGGATTACTGCAAAAAACGGATAGAGGTATATCAGGCTCAGAATTATGCCAGGAGTAATAGCAATAGAAAGTAAACAGTATACTGACATAAAAAAGGGAACTTTTTAATTTTTTTTGTGGCTTCTGACATTCACTTGCAATGAATATAAAAAAACATTATTTGCTATGCTAAATGACGATCATGACAAAGTGATTGGTCAGACAGCGTTACTGCGAGGATGTGCCATTGATGGGTCCAGGGTTAATGGCTCAAGCGAAAATATTTCACGAAGAAATTAAAAACTGAGTGCACATATGCGACAGGTTAGTTAACCAAATTTAAAAACTGCCGTGGTATAAGGCAATTAAAAATTTCAGGTGAGAAAGCTTTAGCTGCTGAACTATTTCCATATGAATTCATTCAACTCATTAATAGCGAAACGTTATTTCCAGAAACAAATTTACAATGCTGATGAAACTGGTCTTTTCTGGCTATATGCACTGTGAAATACCTTGTAAACCTTCACAGAAAAGGTTCCTGGTGTCAAAGATTCCAAAGCGACACTAACAATTTTAGTACGCACAAATGCTGTGCAGGAATGCACAAGTGTAAACTTTTCATAATCAGAAACAATACATGACTTCAAGCATTTAAAGGAGTAAAGATTTTCCCTGTTATACATTGTGCAAATAAAATAGTATGGATGACACAAGCATTAATGAATGATTGATTAGAAAATCATTTCATACCCAACATTCAACATTTGAACTCGACTGGTTTACCTGATGACACAAAAATTGTCCTGAATGTACATAACTGTTCGGCTCATACTTCACTTAAAGTTTTAAAGAAAGATAATGTATCTGTATTATTCTTTCCTCGAAACTGGATGTCTATCATTCAGGGTATGGATATCGGAATAGCACTCCCACTGAATTGCATAAAGTAACATTTTTAAAATCTATGTTAAATTTCCTGAATAATGGCAAGACTATTCAAGAACTTTAAAAAATATTTTAGCATAAAATCTGCTGTGTGGAGCATTGCACGATCATAGGAGGGTGTGTCTCCAGATACTCCAGATAGAAAAAATGCTTAGCATAATTTATGGCCTGTTACCATATTTGATGGTGAGTATGACAGCTGTGAACTTGAAGGATTTTGGATATCACAAATCAAAGATGAAATTTTCTAATTAATGGATTTTGTAAAGAAATGTGTAGTAATAAATAATGATGATGATATAACAAAAGTTTTTCATTGTGATGACAATGCCCTTTCATCAATCAATTAACAGATGGGGAAATCTGTAGTGTCCAGAAAATACAGCTATCGATAGTGAAGAAAGTGACAGAGAGGTTACTGAAAACAAAAAATTTCTATTGAAAAGTTAGGAATTTTCGACGCAGCAATTACAGGACTTGAACAATGGAACTTTGTAACTGACAAGAAATTATGTGTCTACAAAATTACAGAGAAAGTATTAGCACAAAAACGAAGCAACTTAAACAATTTACACTGAAAGAAATGTTTAATAAAGTAAACAAATAAACATTAAGGTTTTTTTTTGGCAAAATTTGATACCTTTTAGATAACAAATTCTTCATTATTTCATAAATCGAGGTTTCATATTCTTAATTTTATAATTTCTACACGCCATCTTACTAGATTTTAAATTGATGATCTAATATCCAGAAAAATCCCAAATCCAGAATCACCAAAGTCCCAACAAGCCTGGATCTGGGACTTTGTACTGTACATATTTATGTTTTACATTGTCAAAGTTCTGTTTCAGAAAATAATTTACATGCATATACCCCAGATTTTAACACTTGTGAAATATATTACCTTTACTTAATACTAATATATACTTACTTCAAATAATATTCGTCACACACCTGTGATAATACTAATGTATACTTATTTTGAATAATATACATCACATCATGTTTGAATTTTTCAAGACATATATAAAGAATGTCTGATGCAAGTGAGAAATAAAATGATAACAAAGAATTTTTAAATAATTTATCAAAATATGATCAGGAACTTTACATGTCATAGAACATCTTTTTGAAAATTTCAGCTACAATGGACTTGTAAGTAATAAATATGCGTGTATTCGTTTATAGTATACCAATGGCATGAATTTCATTAAAAGATAAGATGAAGCAATCAATAAACTGTAAAAGTGATGATCAGGATATTTACAAAAGTCAGGTCAAACTTCATATGAAGAAGCTAAAATATGATACATAATACATAAAAAAAATGTGTTCTTTGGTAGTTCAGAGTTCAACTTGAATTTCTTCGGTAAGCATTGCAAGTCCATTTGCCAAATGAGTAGCTCTATCACCATTGGTCAATGATATATTATCTTTGAATGATAAATCATTCAAATCACTTAATTTGTCACATAAAATATCCCTAATCACAACAGGAACTGTATCGTTCGAATACGATTCATCAGATTTTAAATCACAAATTTCATTAGCTGGTTGAGAGATAATTAGTTCTTCAGTGTCTGTACTAGGTCCAACAATGGAATCCATAAGGTCTTCAACTTCTACACTATCATCAGTTACCTTCATTGAATCATCCAGTTCTGAACTGCTTGTTAATGTACAGTCTTCAATATCTCCAGGTACAGGAGAACGTACAGCAATAGCATTTAGAGATGGGTCAGAATCTCTAAAAATTATATCAGATGTTGAATCATTAGTATTTTCTGTTGAGCCGACCACATTTTCAACCTTGGACTGCTCAGCAGGTTCAGCTGCTTCACTAGATGTAACACTATACATAGTTTTCTCATGCATGTTGACCAGACAATTTTCAACTCTTATTTTTACTACTAAACTTGGCTTTGAGTGACTTTTAGAGCTACTCTGTGACTTTTCATCATCATTTAAACTATCAGAACTAAACTTGGAATATTTTTTACTAGATGTGCTTGAGTTAGATAGTATATCAGAGCATTTTGAAATTTTTAGTTTAGGGATTTTAAGTTTTGGAGCCCACTTTTTCATGTCTTTATCATTTGCAAAAATATCTGATAAAACTACTACAGGCACTTTAGGATTGTTTGCAGTAGCTAAAGGACTTTGGGATATGGAATAATCATTTTCCAAAGGTTCATAAGATACCTTTGTAGTTTTCTGCTTCTTGCATCTTTGTTCTACTTCCTCATTACTTTCCTCAGAACAACTCTGCTTTTCTTCTGAGGACTGTTCATTGCTATTTATCTGTTCATCATCAAATAAAAGTGTTTCCTTTCCATCTTCCATACACCAGATTTTGAATGTCTGATACTTCATAAATGCTTGAGCTGGAAATAACTGATGAGGTTGTATATGCATTTTAAGATGGTTCTGCAAAAAACTATTTTGCATTGAACTGTAGTCACAGTATGGACATTTAAAACCATCTTGCAACCAATGACGTCTCTGATGACTTTGAACAGCATCTTTTCTTGTCTGAAAATATGGACATCGATCACAAATAAATGTTGTTCTCTTTTCTTCTGTTTCTAGAATATTTGTATTTTCTGTTAAAGGCTTTGATAACTGAGAAACAGAGTTAAAGTTATTATTGCTGCCAGTAGGAGATTTAACAGAATCTGCATTTTCTGTGTCTTTCTTTGCTGCATGTAATGCTTTGTGCTTGAACAAATTGGCAGCAAAACGAACAGAATAATCACATTGATCACATGCAAACTTATAATTACCACCATGAAGATTAGAGTGCCTTTCAAATCTATCTAATTTATAAAAGATAGCAGGACATTTTGGACAAGGGAATGTACGAAGTGTACGCTTTGGGGGGGTCTTCTTTGGATGTACCTGAGAATGATTTGAAAGATTAGAGGGTCTGCTAACAGCATAATCACACTGTGAGCATTTAAATTCACCATCACTACCATGCAAAGATATATGGTAAGACAGAGTAGATGTTTTAAAGAAGGCAGCAGGACAGAAACCACATTTCTGAAGATTACTAGCAGCATTTCCTACTTTTTTCATAGCTGCTTTTACTTCAGATGCTTCAAGAAGTAGCATCTGGTCAATCTTTTTAGGCCCTGACACAATTTTTGTTGCTTCCGAGGGATCTAAAAACTCAGACGCATTTTTATTTTCAACAGATGCAAGAGGTGCTTGGGAAGCATTACGTTTTAATCCATATTCAGGTGTATGTACTAGTAAGTGCTTAAACAGATGAGGTTTATGCCGTGCTCTGTAATCACAATGAGTACATGGAAATGGAAATGATGATCCATGAAATTTTTTGTGATTCTCCAAATCATTACCATTCTTAAACACAGCAGGGCATTTTTTGCAGCAGTAACTAAAAACTTTTTTGCCCTTCTGAGGCACATTTTCCCCATTTGCATCTAAAGATGATTTCTTATCAGGAGTTGGTGTATTCTGTTGAGGATAAGCCTGCTTTTCTGGGACTTTCTGGTGGACTTTTATATGATTAGTCAAACCTCCTTGATTCAGACACTGGTAATTACAATATGTACAAGCAAATTTTCCATCATTAACAATTACACCATGCATTTTTTGATGAACGCGAACATTAGCTTTTTTCTTATTCATCATAGGGCAATATTGGCATTTAAACATTTTTACAATTAAATCTCCCCGTTTCACATATATAACAGACATCTTTTCCGGAACTTCAGTTTCAATTACATCTGGAGATTTTTCTGGCGAAGATCTGCGACTTCTTGTTGACTCTTTCTGATGATCTTGTTCCGATTCATTTTCTGAATGCACTTTCATGTGCTGTGTCAATAGATGTTGCATTGTTGCCCAATAAGAGCACACTGTACATTTAAATGGAGCTGAAGGGTTTGGCCGATGAAACTGTTTATGATATAAGTACTGAGTTTTGTTATCAGTTTTATATGGACAATTTTCACATATATGTCGTTTTATTTTTGGAGGCGAAACAGGCTCAACATCAGTATACTGGTTAAGTTTATCAAAGGATATAGGTATAGAATCATCTGCTGAATCATTGCCTTGATCATAAAACTCATAAACATCATTCTGATATGGGTTAACTTCAGAGTGTGCCGTATTATCATAACCATTGGTATCCATTAGCACTTGATTATCATCAACAGGTACAGTTTCCACAGAAGGTGGATTGTGGAGTTTCATGTGTCTAACCAACGTTTTCTTAAATTTAACAAAATAAGGACAGAAGTCGCATCTGTATATTGCACCTTCACGAGGTCTATGCTGCTTCATATGGAACTTGATGTAAAATTCCTTGTCACATTTATATGGACAAATCTTGCAACCAAACTGCTGGGCAGATTTCCCTGCACTGCCATTTTCTTTTGTACCTGAATTGACAGAAGTAAGACGCAATGCATAACCTTCTTGTACATAATTGATTCTATCTTCAACTTCATTCATATAACCATTATGAGCATCTTTAACATGCCTAACTATTACATGTCTCCAGTTAGAACTAATACCACAAGCTCGACATCGGAATGGCTTCAGACCAGCATGAATGGACAAGTGACTAACAACTACTCTCTTTGTGGAATGTTTGAAATTACAATGTTTACAATAAAAGAGTTTTGTTGAGTCACTTAATTTCTCAAGGTCTTCTGGAGGTTGGTTATCAAAAACATACTCATCAGACCTTTCCATGATTTCAGTTTCATCTGGTAAGTTTATATCTGGTGTGACAACAATATTTACAGGAGCTTCTTCAAAATTGGAACCTATATTCCTGAAATCATAGCTACAATTCTTTGCAGGCGGTTCAGTAAAATTTGGTCTATTAGTGTTAAATCTTGGTTCACTACTTTCAGAAAGGCTGCTCACTTCAGTTATAATAGGCAATGAATTTGAAGGCAGCGGCTTAGGTTTATCAATATCAACTAGGTATTTTTCATACTTTTCATAATTTCGCCTTCCTGTTTCATCAGTCAAGAGAACACAAGCTTTATTGTGGGATTTATCTCGACAGCCTTTGAGACGAATATGTTTGGTAATATCCCATTCCCAATTTGAATTATAACCACACACCGAGCACATGAAAGGACGTCGATTATAGTGTTGAACAATGTGCACATGAAAACGTGATGCTGTGGTAGTTCCGAAAGTACAAAATGGGCACTGGTACTTGCGTTTCAGACCACCTGGTGATTCTTCACCACCGTTAGGAGAAGGCTCTCTCATATGCTGCAAAGGCTGTTGTCTGAATGAAGAATATGAATCAACTGTCTCAACATCAATTGGTTCTTCTGAGCCTAGACCAGATGACAAGTTCTCAATATCATACGGGTCATAAACATCATTTTGAGGGTAAGGATGTGGGAAAGTTTCCTTGGTCAATGTCAAGTCCAATGGTGAATCCTGATCAGAATTTCGAACAGGTGCAGAAGCCCTAAGTTGGTTCCTTTTAGCTTCTTGATTAACCTGCCAATCACTAACAGGATCAACAGAGCTAGATTTTTTCAGTTTTAATTTAGGTATTCCATACTTTTTGGTAGATGATGTAGGCATTTTAATCCCATGATATTTCATCAAATGACGATTTAGATCACCTTTCCACTTGCAATGATATTTACATTTGTGACAATGAAAAGGTTTTTCCTGTGAGTGCACTCTCATATGTCTTTGCAACTCTGATATCCACCTAGTTTTGTAACCACATACAGAACAAGTGGGGACAACTTTAGATTTAGAGGACTCAGATGCGTCTCCTGATGAAGCTCTATCAAAATAATGTGTCATTCTTAACTGACGTGACATGCTACTATTATTACTATTACTGCTACTACTACCGGGAGGCACACCAAAGTTTTTTTGCTTATATGAAGAATTAAATTTATTCACAGCCGGAGGCATAAATGGCTGTAACGGTTTCTTCAATAATGATGACAGCATTGAGTTCTTGTTGCTTTCAGGTGGTGGTGGAGGTTTGTTACTTGACGAATTGTTCTGTTTTAAAACTTCTTGAAACATTGGTAATACTGTATCACTTGCATATTCTTTTCCAGGTCGCCTTCGACTCGGCTTTAAAAGATCAAAAGCAGCAGCTATATTTCTGGCTTCCGAATCTTCTCTATGAACTCGCCGTAAATGTTTAGTCAACCAAGCAATGTGTTCAAAACGCATTCCACAGAGGGGGCATGGATGTTTTTTCTGACTTTTATGAGTTTCTTCATGCTTTTTCAATTCAAAAGGCCAAGCAGCTCTAAAATCACAAGTTCTACATTTCAGAGTTTTTTGATAAACTTTGCCATCCTTCCAAACCATGTCAGCATTTTCTCGTGATGATGGAAAATCATATGGTTCATTAGATTCAACTTCATCCAAAGGCAATATACTTTCCTCCTCTCCCTGAAAGTAATCAATATCCTCCCATTCTGATGATTCATTTGGGTTACTGAGTTCATCTTCCTGCTCAAAACATTCGTCATCAGCAGTAGGATCATGGTGGTTTGTCACATGAGACTTAAAAGATTGTTTAGTAGAAGTGGTGAAATTACACGTGGTACATCGGAATTCTCCTTCAGCACCAACCTCATGATTTTTCATATGTCTGTCCATATTCCATTTATAGGGTGTTTTAAAGAAACAGAATTCGCACTGCATTTTTGGCAAACTGTGGTATTTTATGTGCTTTGTATAACGACCTCTTTCATTCGTTACATAACCACACTGAAGACAACGATAAAACCTTTTTTTCAAATGAGCAGTCTTTTCATGATGAAACATGAGCGATCTATTACGTGTATGATAAGCACAGAGAGAACACTTTAATAGACCTTTATTTCTTTGAAGATTTCGTTTAGATGCATTAGCAGAATTTTTGTACGATTCACTATTAGATGAAAAGTGCATTCCAAGTGTGATCATACTCGACTTCGACTTTTTCTCTTTAGATGCCTCGAGTTCTTTCAAGTACTCGGGATCTTTTGCGATTAATTGACGATGAACTAATTTAATATGTCTAGTTAACTTCTGTATATGTTTAGAAGCATAAATACAATATTTGCATTCATGTATGTTAATTTTTTCACCATGAATATTTTGAAGATGGTATAAGTACTCTCGAGGATTGCTAGTTAACAAACCACAGTCACTGCAATTATAACTTCGTTTAACTTTTAAAGGTCGTAATTTATCAGGTGAAGATACAGAATCAGTCATTGCCACAGATTGTGGAGATACTTCATTGACACCATTGCTACTCACTGTAGTTCCATCAGCACCTGGTAGTCCAAGTGAAGGCAGAGAAAATGTTACAGAATCGGCATTTGTAGTCTTCTCCTCAGGACAGATGATTTCCTCAACATAATTGTTTATATCATAAACATCCTTCTCATCAGGCTGCAGACTCGTAACCTCTTCCTCCACGAGAGTGACTTCGGGCACTATGTCATCTTGTATGGGTTCCTCTGCTCCTAGTCTTGCTTTCTCTTTTGCATATTTATCCTCATACTTCTCAAGCTGGAGGAGTTCAGGATGCTCTGCTTCTATGTGCTGGGCAAGCTCGGCAGTGCTGTTTGCAAAAAAACCACATGCTTCACAAGTTGTTATTTTATTAAGTCCGTGAAGATCCCGTTTATGCCGATACCAATTAGCGGCATATCGGGTAATAAAAGGACATAGAGGACACTTGAATACTTTTTCAGAATGAATTAAAACAGCATGCCTAGCTAACATGCGGCGGTTACCAGCAACGTAATGACATGAAGTACATGGATATCTTCCTAAACCTGGCATATTTGGCAAGACAGCATGCTCTTCACATATATCATTAGTTGACAGATCAATATATTATATAGATGCTCACACAAAACATGCAGTTATTTCTGAAAAAACCAAGGAAAATATAAATTTAGTGGTATGAAGGACACAGAAGAAGAACCAACAGTTATGTCTTAATTGTAATATTTAATTCTGTCATCTATAAATAGCAATGTTTAGACATGATGAATTTTGTTGACAATCATATTTCCCCATGTTAATTTATGAAAATGCTTTAGGTGCTCTGCAAAAGCTGAAGTAATACTGCTAAAATTTAAAATTTCATATTTTGCAATAAGAAGTACTATTCTGATTAACATGGTGAAATAAACCTGTATGTTTTAATAAGTTTTTCATTACTTAAAAATACTTCTAGTTAAATAGTTTTTAAATAGTTTGTTGTAACAGAATTTTTACTCAACTTGTGTTTTAATAGTTATTTAAAACAAATGGGACAGACAAAGTGTTTATCTGATCGCACTATGGTCATTTGTTACTTTCAGGTACAATGTAGCACATAATGATACCATTCTGGCAACCAAATAATTCCAGATGGACCAAATAAAGGTTTTTTTTTTTTTTTTTTTTTTTTTAAATTTTTTTATGAGGAAATACAGATGATACAAACTGGTACCACGATGCAGATAAGTAAGTGGAGTTTATGACTAAAGAGAATTAATTATCTTTAAACTACCAATAGTACCGGACAGAACTACCAATGTTCAGCGTCTTTACCGCTTGGTCGCTGGTGGGCCTAACATACCTTTGCCTCCTATCTCTGTTCCTCTTAAACAATCCCTAAAAAGATAAAGATTCAACTATTCTGTGAAAAGGATCATCTCAGTGTCTTTTGTGCAGCATATTAGTATAGCACCTTTAATTTGGCTCAGCTATTAGACTGGAGTACTTAATCCTGGATGAAATACAAAACAGAATCACTACAGCCAACAGATGCTTGCTTCAATGGAATATGAAAATATATGAAATCAAGTTATAATTCAAAGAAACAAAAAACAAAGGTTTTTAAAGATCAGTTTTGACATATGCATGTGGTACTTGGACCAAGATGCACTTGAATGCGGATATGGTGGGCATTTTTGAAAGGAAGGTTTTGAGAAATATTTTTATAGAGTACAAAAAAATGAAATGGTGTGTGGCTTAGAAGATCAAATTTGGAATATTTCCCCATGTTAATTTATGAAAATGCTTTAGGTGCTCTGCAAAAGCTGAAGTAATACTCCTAAAATTTAAAATTTCATATTTTGCAATAAGAAGTACTATTCTGATTAACATGGTGAAATAAACCTGTATGTTTTAATAAGTTTTCATTACTTAAAAATACTTCTAGTTAAATAGTTTTTAAATAGTTTGTTGTAACAGAATTTTTACTCAACTTGTGTTTTTAATAGTTATTTAAACAAATGGGACAGACAAAGTGTTTATATCTGATCGCACTATGGTCATTTGTTACTTTCAGGTACAATGTAGCACATAATGATACCATTCTGGCAACCAAATAATTCCAGATGGACCAAATAAAGGGTTTTTTTTTTTTTTTTTTAATTTTTTTATGAGAAAATACAGATGATACAAACTGGTACCACGATGCAGATAAGTAAGTGGAGTTTATGACTAAAGAGAATTAATTATCTTTAAACTTCTGAAAACGTGTCACTCATGCATAGCATTTTCATATGTCACTAGGATCTTGGAACCCTTACATAAGTCAACTACAGTGCATATCACTTAACATACTTTTGTGATTGTGATTATTCAATTATGGCAAAGCACACGAGGGCTATCTGCCTAAAGGGAGGGCTGCCTTCGTGAAGGACTTTCTAAGGGAAACTGGCTCATATACACGTTACACATGGGGAAAACCACGAAAACGCCCATGCAGCCAGCCCGTTTGCGGGATTCGAACCTCGGACAGAACTACCAATGTTCAGCGTCTTTACCGCTTGGTCGCTGGTGGGCCTAACATACCTTTGCCTCCTATCTCTGTTCCTCTTAAACAATCCCTAAAAAGATAAAGATTCAACTATTCTGTGAAAAGGATCATCTCAGTGTCTTTTGTGCAGCATATTAGTATAGCACCTTTAATTTGGCTCAGCTATTAGACTGGAGTACTTAATCCTGGATGAAATACAAAACAGAATCACTACAGCCAACAGATGCTTGCTTCAATGGAATATGAAAATATATGAAATCAAGTTATAATTCAAAGAAAAACAAAGGTTTTTAAAGATCAGTTTTGACATATGCATGTGGTACTTGGACCAAGATGCACTTGAATGCGGATATGGTGGGCATTTTTGAAAGGAAGGTTTTGAGAAATATTTTTATAGAGTACAAAAAAATGAAATGGTGTGTGGCTTAGAAGATCAAATTTGGAAATATTCCCCATGTTAATTTATGAAAATGCTTTAGGTGCTCTGCAAAAGCTGAAGTAATACTCCTAAAATTTAAAATTTCATATTTTGCAATAAGAAGTACTATTCTGATTAACATGGTGAATAAACCTGTATGTTTTAAATAAGTTTTCATTACTTAAAAATACTTCTAGTTAAATAGTTTTAAATAGTTTGTTGTAACAGAATTTTTACTCAACTTGTGTTTTAATAGTTATTTAAAACAAATGGGACAGACAAAGTGTTTATCTGATCGCACTATGGTCATTTTTGTTACTTTCAGGTACAATGTAGCACATAATGATACCATTCTGGCAACCAAATAATTCCAGATGGACCAAATAAAGGGTTTTTTTTTTTTTTTTTTTTTAATTTTTTTTATGAGGAAATACAGATGATACAAACTGGTACCACGATGCAGATAAGTAAGTGGAGTTTATGACTAAAGAGAATTAATTATCTTTAAACTTCTGAAAACGTGTCACTCATGCATAGCATTTTCATATGTCACTAGGATCTTGGAACCCTTACATAAGTCAACTACAGTGCATATCACTTAACATACTTTTGTGATTGTGATTATTCAATTATGGCAAAGCACACGAGGGCTATCTGCCTAAAGGGAGGGCTGCCTTCGTGAAGGACTTTCTAAGGGAAACTGGCTCATATACACGTTACACATGGGGAAAACCACGAAAACGCCCATGCAGCCAGCCCGTTTGCGGGATTCGAACCTCGGACAGAACTACCAATGTTCAGCGTCTTTTACCGCTTGGTCGCTGGTGGGCCTAACATACCTTTGCCTCCTATCTCTGTTCCTCTTAAACAATCCCTAAAAAGATAAAGATTCAACTATTCTGTGAAAAGGATCATCTCAGTGTCTTTTGTGCAGCATATTAGTATAGCACCTTTAATTTGGCTCAGCTATTAGACTGGAGTACTTAATCCTGGATGAAATACAAAACAGAATCACTACAGCCAACAGATGCTTGCTTCAATGGAATATGAAAATATATGAAATCAAGTTATAATTCAAAGAAAAACAAAGGTTTTTAAAGATCAGTTTTGACATATGCATGTGGTACTTGGACCAAGATGCACTTGAATGCGGATATGGTGGGCATTTTTGAAAGGAAGGTTTTGAGAAATATTTTTATAGAGTACAAAAAAATGAAATGGTGTGTGGCTTAGAAGATCAAATTTGGAATATTTCCCCATGTTAATTTATGAAAATGCTTTAGGTGCTCTGCAAAAGCTGAAGTAATACTCCTAAAATTTAAAATTTCATATTTTGCAATAAGAAGTACTATTCTGATTAACATGGTGAAATAAACCTGTATGTTTTAATAAGTTTTCATTACTTAAAAATACTTCTAGTTAAATAGTTTTAAATAGTTTGTTGTAACAGAATTTTTACTCAACTTGTGTTTTAATAGTTATTTAAAACAAATGGGACAGACAAAGTGTTTATCTGATCGCACTATGGTCATTTGTTACTTTCAGGTACAATGTAGCACATAATGATACCATTCTGGCAACCAAATAATTCCAGATGGACCAAATAAAGGGTTTTTTTTTTTTTTTTTTTTTAATTTTTTTATGAGGAAATACAGATGATACAAACTGGTACCACGATGCAGATAAGTAAGTGGAGTTTATGACTAAAGAGAATTAATTATCTTTAAACTTCTGAAAACGTGTCACTCATGCATAGCATTTTCATATGTCACTAGGATCTTGGAACCCTTACATAAGTCAACTACAGTGCATATCACTTAACATACTTTTGTGATTGTGATTATTCAATTATGGCAAAGCACACGAGGGCTATCTGCCTAAAGGGAGGGCTGCCTTCGTGAAGGACTTTCTAAGGGAAACTGGCTCATATACACGTTACACATGGGGAAAACCACGAAAACGCCCATGCAGCCAGCCCGTTTGCGGGATTCAAACCTCGGACAGAACTACCAATGTTCAGCGTCTTTACCGCTTGGTCGCTGGTGGGCCTAACGTACCTTTGCCTCCTATCTCTGTTCCTCTTAAACAATCCCTAAAAAGATAAAGATTCAACTATTCTGTGAAAAGGATCATCTCAGTGTCTTTTGTGCAGCATATTAGTATAGCACCTTTAATTTGGCTCAGCTATTAGACTGGAGTACTTAATCCTGGATGAAATACAAAACAGAATCACTACAGCCAACAGATGCTTGCTTCAATGGAATATGAAAATATATGAAATCAAGTTATAATTCAAAGAAAAACAAAGGTTTTTAAAGATCAGTTTTGACATATGCATGTGGTACTTGGACCAAGATGCACTTGAATGCGGATATGGTGGGCAGTTGAAAGGAAGGTTTTGAGAAATATTTTTATAGAGTACAAAAAAATGAAATGGTGTGTGGCTTAGAAGATCAAATTTGGAGCTACATTGCTCATATAATGAACCTGACATCATGAATTTCATTAAATGCCATAGAATAAAATGGGCAGGCCATGTTATCAGAATGGATGAAGACTGTGGAACAAAAAAAGTTTTCAACTCCAGACTAACAGGCACACGGAAAAAAACCAAATCTAAGATGGTTAGACTGCCTAGAAAAAGACCAACTGGTCTTAAAAACCAAAATTGGAAAATGCTAGCAGGGAGAAGATTG